AGATCTGTGCAGGCAGCTTGCGACTGGCTCATGTCCAGCTTTGTGTTTACTGCCAGCCTTGGGTTTCTTTTAGGATTTTGGCTTTCCCGTCAGCTCTTTCCTCTTCTAATAACTCTTCCTTTAGTGCAGTGTTTCTCAGCCTGGGCCCTGCAGCACCCTGGAGTACTTTGAGGCCCTTTTAAGGGTGCCGTAGAGTGTTAGCACTGTTTGGTGTGCACGGAGCGTTCATACGATAAACACGGAGATTTCAAATGGAAACCCAGTGTCAAAGCCGTTCTGCCCTGTTGTGGTCTTGCAGAGGTCTTTGCAGCAGAAGAATTGCTCTGTTATTTTTCTCTGGTCAAAAAATAGTGAGAGCTAAGAGCTGGCATTTTCCCAGGGGTGCCTCGGGTCTATCAAGGGGTGCCTCAAGCCTAAAAAGGTTGAGAACCACTGTCCAAGCCTGTTTAGTAAAGGTTTATTAAGGACCCCCCCCCCCCCCCCCCCCCCCCCCCCCCCCCCCAAAATCTGTTGATGAAAAAACTGATTGAAAGGTTTAGCTGGTGTTGTCAAGTCACACCTGAACTTTATCTTTTATTGCCTTTCATCTTCTTGTGATGACTTCTTTCATGTGCCCCTGGGGGGTCACAAGAAATAATGACCATAAGCTAGCAGAAAGCAGATTTAGACTGGACATTTAGGAAGAACTTCACAGTTAGAGTGGCCAAAATCTGGAACGGGCTCCCAAGGGAGGTGGTGCTCTCCCCTACCCTGGGGGTCTTCAAGAGGAGGTTAGATGGGCATCTGGCTAGAGTGATCTGAAACCAGCACTCTTTCCTGCCTATGCAGGGGGTCGGACTCGATGATCTATTGAGGTCCCTTCCGACCCTAACATCTATGAATCTATGCATCTGTGTTTATTTTCACATTGCACAGTAATATGTTAGTAAGTTGGTAGGGAATTTCATTTTTCAGCAGCTTGTCACAGACTATGTAGTTTACAAACTAGTCTCTGGAGCCCTTGTCAGTAGTCTGTCCAGAGTTGGCTGTCTTTACTAATATCCATTTTATTACTATCAGTAGTGGAAAGCTTCGAGCATGTAAAGCAGCTAGGTATGAGCACATGGCAGCTGTCTCTGTTATAGGGTGTCTGTAGATGTGCCGGGAGGCTGCTCCAACATGCTGGAATTACAGACTCGATTAATTGAGTCTGATGGAGTTTGCCAATTAGTGTGCTCCATCCAGCCTCCACCTGTTGTGTACTGGTGTCCCCACACTTCAAAATGGCAGCAGGGGCACTTTAGACAAACTTTTGTTAACTGAGAGCTATTCTAATTGAAGCCCTAATTAAAGCCCTTGGAGAGCTGCTCTAATTAAAGCACCCTGGAGCACGTGTAAAAATGCCAGTAGTTTTCAACTACTGAAGAGGAAGAGAAATGAGGCATCTACAGAGCTGCCATCCACTAGTACCTGCATCTGGTCCATCGGAAAAGGGAGTTAAGTTGCAGGGGAGAAAGTGTCCAGAGAGGAGAGAAGAGGACTAATCATATGTTGAAAAACAGAGGAGGAGAGTTAAAGTCTCTCAGATTTTTTCTGGTTTGAAGGTAGAAGATTGTTTGTAAGTAAATTCCAAAATACTCCTTCAGACTTCCAAGTAAGCGTTGTCTTGTCCTCCCCACCCCCTGCAGAACACTGACTTGGTGGGACTTTTCCATCACTAAAACTTACCAAGCGTTTGGAAACCAGCCATTGATTTTAGAGTTGTCATCTTTCAGATTTTTGCAGTTGTAATTCCTGCAGCCATTAGAAGATGAGTGAATAATTCCTTGTGACCTCTGTAAGTTCAGAGTTCATAGGAAGGTTCAACAGGAACACTAAGTGGTTATCTTGATAGTTGGCACCCTTTTATTTCCTTCACCATGTCTCCAGCCTGCTTCCAGAACAGTCTGATTCCGGGACATGTGCATCACATGTAGTGGAATGTTCCCCAAACAACCACACTCCCTCCAACATTTGCCTGTACCATAAAAGCATTAAATTTTGAGTGGCGTGAGATAGCACTGATATAAGATTTTAAAATAATTTTCTTTTATTATTGTGTGGGACCATTATTTCAGATGGTCTCCCATTTTTTCAGCACTAATTTCTGATCCAATGGCATAAGCCCACTTTGCCATAAATTGAGTTTATTCATTTTCTGTAAGGAACAAAACATGGATAGCCATGAACAGTTACAGTACATGAAATACATTTCTCATATTACTTTTCTGTTGAGCTTTTGTAGTGTGTGAGGACTACAGGTGTGTTATCACAGTACAAGGAAAAATGCTCTATTGAGACACTAGGTTAAGATGCCATCCAGCCTTTGCAAAAATTTGAACCCTTGATTGAAGGGACACAGACTAAATTCTAATTCCTTGATCTCTAAGATATGAGGATGTTCAGAATTTTTTTGTAAAAGGACCGTGTTCATGCTGTTGGCTTCCATCAGAGTTGTACAGGCCCTATTCTGCTATGATGAACAGTGTTAGCATTGCTACTCTTCACTGAACTCATTTTCTGGAAGTTGAGAATGTAGAAGGGTGAAAAGCAGGTGGGTATTAGAATTGCCTTTAAACTAGATACAGGAACATAGCGCAGAGTTAAGAGCATCTTGGATAATTTTTTATGGCTATTAATGGGGAAGGGCCAGCTGATATTTTTTTAAACAATTAATATTATATGAATGTAGACAAATCATTAAAAAATGTCTTCTACAGTCTAGAATTCAGTGTCACTGAAAACAGCACACAGAGATGTTAAGGTGTAAACAGATTTTGCATTGAGCCACCATAAAAAAAATCTTATGGCAGCACAAAGGCCAAGCCAACAGATATACATGCACCTTGTTGTGCCACACATGCCCAACATTTGTGGTGTGACATAAGTGGTATGATTTTGTGCCACTGGTTTGCAGCAAATATCTGTTTGCTTTAAGGCAGGAATTCCCATTCCTGGGACATGGAGGATCAGGCCTCTGAAGCCTCAGGAATATCTACCTGGGTTCTTCTGTTTGGGATTCCCTGGGTGCGCATCAATCCAGTATAGTCCCAGGCCTGGGACTGTCAATCAGCTGATCTCCTTCATTGAGTGAAACATGTTGCCTGTTGTCCTGCCCACTGCTCCTATGGGACACGGGGCAAAGTGTTGCCCACTTACAGATGCACCCTGGGAATCAGCAGTCTCAGCCCTGGCACTGCGCTGGAGCAAGTTCAGTGCTTTGGTGTGGTCCTGGGGCTGGGACCATCAATCAGCCAATTTCCCCCACTGGCCTTCCCTGCTTGCAGAGATTCTCCGGGGTGCATCTGCTATGCTAGTGGGGAACATATTGCCCATTGTCCCACAGAATCAGTAAGTGGGGCAATGGGTGATGTGTGTTTCACTCAGTTATAACAGATCAGCTGTGGCAAGAGATGCATGATGTCTGTGTATATCTTTATATGTTAAGAGGGACTTTAATCTACATTTAGAAATACTGAGCCAGGTAGAACAGCTATCTTTTTTCATATTACTTTTCTGAAAGGAGCCTAGTTTGCATGGTTAAAACTGGCACAATTTTATATGAAAAAGTGTTGATATACCCGAGACGTTTACTACAGTGTGAAGCATTGCACTTGGAAGCTAGTGATGAAATATGCAGAAATGCCTATAAATAAGTGCAGTCATTAAGGACAGAGTCTATTAATATACATCAAATAACTGATTGGGAAGGATACTTTTAATTCTTTAAAATATTGTTCCTGCTAGGTTTGTATTAAAGTGAAACTTTGCAGATGGGAAGCCCTGATGCAGATTAGTCCTATATATGATTTTTTTAAAACTGAGATTATGTCCAGTGTACTATGTACAATCTATAAAAATACCATATGTACTCGATTAAAAGATAAGGTTCCCCACCCACCTATCTAATATGGGAGGTGGTGTTGGGGAAAGGCCCCTTGGCTTACAATTGAGTGTGAGGGGCTAGGGAGGCAGCTGCTGTGGCTCTGGCCTTGGCCCTAACCTGGGGTTGGAGCCAGAGCCGCAGCTGCTACTACAGGGCCAGGCTGGAACCAGTGCCCAATCCCCCTGCCTGCAGTAGTGACAAGCTGTCAGCAAAGGCAAATGGAAGGGCAGGCGAGGGGTAAAGACTTTGGGGAGATGGGAGGAAGAGGGGGTAGGGACCCAAGGCTGCAGGGGGCAGAAGCTGTGTAGAGGGGGAATAGGGGAAGGGGGATCAGGGCTCTGAGGCTGTGGGGGGCAGACACAATGGGGTATGTAGAGGGAGGGAACAGACAGCTGGAGGCCTGCCTTTCTTACTGCCTGTCCCCCCACTTCTGCACTGCATGTCCCTTACCATGTGTCCACCTCTCATTGGTCCTTCCCCTGCCTGCCCTATTACTGTCCCCTCATCGTGTCTCCCTGCCCCTCCCCCAGT